ACGAGCCCCGGCAGAGGGCCCTGGGCAAGCTGCCCCGCGCGGCCGCCAGCGGCGACCTGGCCCAGGTGCGGCAGGGACTGAAGAAGTACGGCATTGACGGGCGGGACAAGGCGGACCGGTAAGCGGGGGGAGCAGCGCCGGCCAGGCGCTGAGGCGCGGTGGGGGATCGCGGCAGCGCCAGGAGCCCCGGGCCGCAGCTGCAGCCCCGGCAGCTCAGCGGTGCTGGGGGCGAACGGCCGCCTCGCTGCGAGGAGCGGGCGGGCTGGCTCCGCAGCCGAGCTCAGCTCTCGGCTGGGTGTGGGAACCAGGCTTGTGCTGCCAGAAACCCTTGAATTCGGCCTAGCGTCGCCTTACCCTTTTTGCCCGGCTTCCTCAGTGCCCTCATTCCCGGAGTCGTATTTCCTTGCCTGGGGGCGCAGGAGTGAAGGGGAGCTGGCAGCAGCCTGACAAAGGTGGGTTGCAGGAGGAGCCTCACGGCCATTCTCCAGCCACGCTTTGAAGTCAAGGTGCAATCGTATGCGTCTCTGCATCGTTGAGGGCTCAGCGTGCAGGTTTAGTAGTTAAGCTAAGTAAGCTGCGCTGCTTTAACAGGGAGTAACTTAAAGAAAGGTAGGCACTGCACTTAGGAAAGAGTTATAGCGAAGAATAAACGTGTTGTGTATTGATGCTGCATGCATAGTTGTCTGATGTGCCTTTTGTGACTGTAATGTTGCAGCCAAAGCATCAGTCTGATTTTAGGTGGCAGATACTTAGTTGTTTGCTCTGAGGCTTTGGTACAGCTAATCAGTACCTTGCATTGGAAGATCTGGGCAGGAGAAGCTGCTTCTTCTGGCAGGTGTCATTGTGTGGGTTTTTGAGTCAAGCACAGCAAGTACTTGGCAATTATATCTTAAGGAGAAGCCCTATTCTGCAGTATAGCTCCTAGTGATCCATCGTAAGCATAAGGGAATCGGCTGAAGTTTTGCGGTCTTGTATGTGTCAACCCTTTAATGCCTTTTCTGAAAAGACTCGGAGTCAAAGTCTTCATGATGTTCTGAAGACATGCTGGTTTTATCAGAGTGGCTCAGCTTCCTAGGCTGTCTATCCTGAAGACTGGACTTTTGCCAGCCAGATAGCTTATTGCCCTGAAAACACCTAAAAACACCTAGATTTGTGGGAGAAGAAAGGAAGAGCACGGTAAGCGTGCACTTTAGTAATGTGGGTTGTGTGCCTGAGTGTTGCCAGTCAGTATTTGTTTATGGAGCTGGAGATGGGGAATGCAGTTTGAGGTGGATTGAGCGCGTTTTGTGCATGCTCCAGCTGCCTGAGTCAAGGTGCCCAGTGACATTCATGGAAATGGCTGCTGAATGTTTCTCTTTTTTTCTTCTTGCTACCTTCTCTTTCACTGTGGCTGGTTCAGTTAGTCATCAGGTCTTAGCAGACCCTGGTATGAAATTTGGCTAGTTTTTGCATTTAAGTTCATCTTGTCTAGAAAGCTTTGTTTCCTCGGGAAAGGTTTCCTTCTGTGTGCCATGCTATTATCAGTGTTATAACTGGGCAAATAAAGTAACACACTGCAAAAAAACCAAGAGATAAGGCAGTGTATGTACGATAGAGCACTGCGATGGTTTTGCTGTGACAATGCCCAGTGCTGAAAAGCTGCTGAAAAGCTTACCTGAGAGGAATTCAGTGAACAGAGTCTGCCTGCTTGCTGCAGCCCCTGTACGCTATACTAGCTGTGAGGGTTACAGACCCATCTATCTTAGTGCTTGTGGGTGTGATACGTGTCGTGAGTGACCACTAGATGCAATTATGTTTCAGAGCTTCATTGTGTCCTCCAGGGACTGGAATAGTTGATATCATTGGAAATAGATGCAAAGAATAGGAAATGTGGGTAGTAATGGCTAAAATGTGTGCATTGTTCATATTCATATCTCAGTTCTACTCCTCAGGATTTCCAAAAGCAAAATCCTGCACCAGGGATGTAGCAAGTATCACGCCTACAGGCTCCTTCCATAAAGTGGGTCCTGTAACCCACAGGACCTCCCAAAAAATGCACTTGGAACAGCATCAGTTAGGAGCAGGCTGCTTTTCGGAGGTGGTCTAGCAAAGCCTTCAGCCTTGCTGAAAGAGATGGGCAAAACTCAGCACAGAGTTGGAAGCACTGTAGGCATGATGCCAGCTAGTCATGAATCCTGGGTCAAAGCTAATCGCTAAGAGAGATTTACCCTGTCAGCTGCCTGTCAGAGTGAACTCTAGAGCTTTTCATTGCTTAGCTTGTAGCTGCTGGGTCATCGGCTCAAGTGCTGTTGGAGGTGTGTGCTGCCAACCTGCTGTTTCCCTGTGGTCTCCCAGCAGGGTTGTTTTGCAGCTGCTCAGGCATCAGTAGTTCTCTTCTACCCCATGGGTGATCAGCATAGGATTGCAGCAGCAGGAGAAGCAGAATCTGGGCAGGGTCCCCAGGGCTGGGTGGCAGAATGGCTTTGGTGTTACTGGAGGCCTCTTGTGGGTACAGGCAACTGTGAACACTCTGATGTTCTCTGCCAGCCTGTTCCCTGAAGCAGATCTTCTGTGGAGCTCAGCAGGCCTTGTTCTGAGCAGAGCCATCTCCTTTCCTGTTGGCAGACTGAGAGGTTTGGTTGAGAAGGGCAGCAACAAGTCTGCAGGTTTTCTGAAGGCTTTTCTGTTTGCAAAGCTGATAGTGACTTCTTCAGGTTTGTCATGTTTCCTAGTGCTTGATAGTAGCAGCTTTTAGATAATTGTGGACTCCTTCATAACCAGTTCTGGTTAGCTTTCAGATAATCTCAGTCAGTCATTTCTTCAGAGGTGAAAGATCCTGCATACTTACACAGGAATTTCACAAAAAGTGGTGGTAGTTGCTTCTGAGGGACGCTTCTGCTGATGCTTCAGTCTGTTCCCTGTCTGTAGCAAGACATTACAAGTTCTTTGAAGTTTTGTGTGTTTTTCTTGTCTTCATCCTTGTTGCCATGGAGGAGGCTCATCAGCTGCCTGTAACAAGGAGTATCTGCATTACAAATTGCTGTGTTTCTGCATCACATGCCACTGCAGTTGTGTACCTGTCCCTTTCCACTCCCACCTAGCCAGTGAGCCATTGTGCTCCTGTCTCTCAGCAAGGTACCAAAACAATTGCAAGGTTAGTTGAGCTTTCCTAAATACAGAGGAGGACCTACCCACAGTGATGTGGTTCAAAACTCGTGCTGGCATCCCCCTCAGTTCTTGAGGAACTGCAGGATTTTTACTGCATTGCCTTCAAGGAAGGAAGGTCCCGGCTATCTTCTAGCTTGTCTCCTGCTCTGTTGGGACAGGTGTCCTGCGGAGCAGCAGGCACTTTGCTTTCTGCACAGAGCAAATCTTGCGCTGCTTTGTGCCTGTGATTTAGGAGGAAACACATGCAAGGACTTTCTGGGTGATTGTGTGTTTGGGTACAAATAGGCTGGTTGATTGACATCAGACCTAAGAAGTTCTGTGGATTGAAGGAGCCCTTTTCTTTCTGGCAAGGCTTTAGTGTGAAAAAAAAAAAGTTTCATTTTCTTATGCTGGTCATGTATTGTGGAAACACAGTATTCCCTCCTTGGAGAGGACTTTCTCTGTAGTAGGCTTTTTATGACTATGATAGTTACACATGTCAGGAAGGTCAAACATTACTTTCCTGTAGTCAGGATTACAGTGTTCAGTGGTCTGGTTTGCTACATGTTATCAGAGGTGCTTTGGTGCAAGTGTGTTCTTGTGTTCGCTGCAGTAGTAAACAAGCTAGAGAAAAAGCAGAAATTCTCCAAGTGCAGGGAAACACTAATATTCTTGCTATAAAACCCATCTCCTACATCTCTGATACACTTCTGGCACATGAATGATCATAGAAGAACTTAAAGGTTTACTTGCCACAGTCCTCAGATTCCCAAGCTTTGGTCTCTGTTGCTGTGGCATGTGTGTAGTCTGGCTAGAGGCAGTGGCCAGGGCCTGGGCACAGGAATCTGTTTGTGCAGATTCAGTTCTACAGTGAAGGAAATGTCACCTTACTAAGTGGATGCTGTGGAGTGTTTTTGCTAGCCAGCCTCAGGCATTTGGTGTGCAACTGCTGTTACTGGTAATGGAATTAGAAATCTTTTCTTAAGCTTGCTTTTTGCAAAGTGAAACTTGTGGCCGTATCCATTTATCTCGGCCTGAAATTATTTCTTTAGTTGTCTGTCTGTGCTAATTTAATATATTTAATTTTTAGGACACCTCTGCATCTTGCTTGTGCAAATGGCCACGTGGATGTTGTTACATATCTAGTAGAAAACAAGTGTAAGCTAAATCTTTTTGACAATGATAACAGATCACCACTGATGAAGGTATGTGGAATATGTTTTGTTCTTGCAAGTGGGGCTTATTGATTATGCACTAAATGATATGTAACTTGCAGGATTCTTTACATAGACCTGTGTAGAAACATGCATATTGTAATTAGCATGGAATAGGCATATGTTAGCTAATCTTTGAAGGTGCTCTTATTTTCCAGCATTGGGAAGTGGGGTGAATTGTAACACAGTGAAATGTAAATGCTGGAAGTTTTTCCTTTTTTGTGTGTTGTTCCCAGGCAGTACAGTGCCAGCAAGAAAAATGTGTGGCTATTCTGCTAGAGCATGGTGCTGACCCGAATCTGGCAGATGCTGACGGCAACGCTGCCCTTCACCTTGCTGTCCTATCTCCTAATACATCTGTGGCAGGGCTGTTGCTCGAACATAATGCCAATATTGATGCCCAGAATAAGGTAAATTTTTGTATTTGTTAAGGAAGTTCTTTCAAAAAGTTGCATTAATATTTCTCTTGAAGGCTTTTTTGACTTTGATTTTTTTAACTTGATTTATTTATCTGTCCTTTCAGGAGGGATATACCCCGCTTATTCTTGCTGTCTCTGAACATCACGAAGAGATGGTAGAGTTTCTCCTTAAAAAAGGAGCTGATGTGCATGCTCGAGATCAGTGTGAAAGGTGAGGAGTTTGTCAAAACTCTGCATGGGTGTCTCTAGTATTCTTTAGGTTGGATTGATGAGAGGCATGGGAATGAGCTCTGAAAAAAAAAACAGGGAGCCACACAGAAGGAGCTATTTCTGCATGACTTGTGAAAGCAGGTCTGCACTTGGCTGCTGTCATACCTCAGTGGATGCTTTTTGCATTGAGGATTGCAAGAAGCATTGTCTGTGGTGGTCCTTCTGGCAGGAAACGTGCCGTTAGCTCAACAGCATTGCCTCAATTTGGAAAAAACCCTCCTGCATAGCAGCATAATTTGTATGTAAGTGTTGTCTATGTGGAAGCTTTGTCTGAAGAATTTAATTGTTTTGACTCCCTGTCGCATTTTATTGTTGCTCTTAATACTGCTTTTTTTTTTTTCCCATTCATTTTAAAATAGCGGGGAAAATACTTTTTTGGAGAGCAAATAGGAATAAAAATAGTTAAAGTGTCTGTGTAAAATGATCTATTTCATATCATATTTTGGATGTTTCAGAACTCCACTTATGACTGCTGCTTCTGGTGGGGAGCTTAATTTGATAAAAGTTCTTCTTCAGTATGGTGCTGATGTTTCCCATAAAGACACTAATGGATGGACAGCTGAGGATTATGCTGTTATTCATGGATATTCTAGGTAAATTTAAGTTTATCGTTAGAATAAGTTGTCAGTTATCAGTGTGGCTTATGAACATTTTTGGTAACAGCACCAAGGTTTAATGGCGTGTTGAGACCTGTCTTGAAGCTGTGCTCAATGACATCGTCTGATACGTATCATTCCTGTGTCTAGTGTTAATTTGGAAATTGAGGAAAACTTCCACCCAGAATTCTCTGTTAGGTTTCAGGTTTTGTTGCTAAGCTCGCATCTGCCCAGTATAAACTCTAAAAAGTGTCTGTACCCTACAGTTATCCAGAGGTGGAACTTGGCAAACTGAAATGCATGTAAACCCTCTCCCCACACCAGCACCATTGTCCTTACTGACTTCCACTACAATGACCAGGAACTACCAGTCTCTTGTTTCAGAGGAGATCTCAACTGATACCTCTTTGGTTAAAATCTTAAGGAGTTTTACTCCTCTTATGCATAGCTTTGTACCTGTGGGTGTTCCTTCTCTAAGGTGGTTATGTGTACTTAAAAGCTAGGCTGAAAATAATGTACCAAGCAGGAGTTAATAACTTCATAGGTATGAATATGCGTCTATAGAATGAACATGACTGTAGTGAATATTGAAGTATGTAATAATCATGCAATAAGTGCTGTGTGTATTACCCTTAGCGAATACATGTGAGTATATGAATTCATATGGCTATAAATATGTGTAGGATGGATAATAAGTGGCTCTTAACTATTCTGTTAAATGGTATATGCAAGTATGTTGTTATTTTTACCAAATATATTTCCTCTCTTTCTCTATATAGTCTTAGTAAACAACTGGCAGAATACACAGACTGGGAAAACGCAGGAGAAGCTTCTGCAGGTGGTGCACAAGGCATCATGGTACTTAGCACTCCACACCGGGCGGGAGCTGCTGGCTTTACATTGGGTGCACCTGCTGTGGACAGAGGAGGTAGGATCCTTAACCATGGAGGAGTTCATGAGGAAAATCACTATGGCCTTTTCTTTAGGTGGTTTGTATTGTTAAAGCTTATTGTGTTCACCAGTGACTCACATGGAGTAGCACAAGAAGTTTTGTGAATGTGCTTATTTGTTGCTGGTTGGAGGTGCTTCTTGTCAGGCTGTGAAGGCAGTTGTGATTTGTGTGCTACATGTCCACATATAGGGTTGTTGCCTTCTGTCTGTCAGATAGCCCACCTGTATAGGTTTTCCTAGAGAGAGAGAAAAGGGGGACAGGGAAGGAACTAGACCAGAGTGTTTTTGCTTTTCAGGTGTATCCTTTTACCTACAGATGGCCATTCAGATTGTGAAAATCCAATTGCAAAAGCAGTAGGTTCATCCTGAGTAGTTGTTCATCTTTCTGTAGTTGGGAAGCAACAGACTGAGTTAGCAGGGAGATACATGTCTTGTTGATTTCCACTGAGTTTGTGTGTCTTTTGTTTTAACATTAATAATTTCAACTGCACTAAGCTCCTTTTAGTGACTCATCTTATTTCTCAGCATCAGTTACAATTGTTTCCATGTAGGTGCTGTAGAGACATATTTAGGAAAAATTGTCTTGGAAAAGTAACCTTGTTAGCAACAGCAATGCAGTGTCTGTGTATACTGTATCTTCTTGGACATAGTTTGATTTATGATAAAAATAACGCTTTTCTTCCATGTTCAGTAATTTTATTAAATAAACTTTAAAAAATCCGTATTACCTTGTGATCCAGAAAAACAATTAAATTGCCTTGTGATCAAAAAATTAACTCCTTCGGTGAGTTTGTAAAATCCAGTCTATGCTTATGAGCTCACATAGCCCTAGAGGAATCTTAGAAAATTAATATTTTAATATTAATGAAATTGTTTGTCTTGTACTTTACATCTCGGGCCCTACAGTGGGAGGTTTTATTCTGTCTGCTTTTTTAAGTATGTTATATCAGAACTATGTGGCAAATGGGCAGCAGACAGTGTTCAAACGCAGTTCATTACTCCTTTTTTAAATATGTCAAGAAATATGAGCAAAACATGGGATATTTTTCCTCATTGACTTTTCCCAGATATGGGAATTTAATTTAGAGCCAAACTTTGTTCTTTTGACTTGGGAACAGTTGCTTTGATCTAGTTGGAGATTTGTAAAGTTTCTGAATAGATTGAAGGAAGATTTTTTTTTTTTTTTTTTTTTGAAAGGGCTTGGTACAGGTGTGAATGTGCTTATTTGTTGCTGGTTGGAGGTGCTTCTTGTCAGGCTGTGAAGGCAGTTGTGATTTGTGTGCTACATGTCCACATATAGGGTTGTTGCCTTCTGTCTGTCAGATAGCCCACCTGTATAGGTTTTCCTAGAGAGAGAGAAAAGGGGGACAGGGAAGGAACTAGACCAGAGTGTTTTTGCTTTTCAGGTGTATCCTTTTACCTACAGATGGCCATTCAGATTGTGAAAATCCAATTGCAAAAGCAGTAGGTTCATCCTGAGTAGTTGTTCATCTTTCTGTAGTTGGGAAGCAACAGACTGAGTTAGCAGGGAGATACATGTCTTGTTGATTTCCACTGAGTTTGTGTGTCTTTTGTTTTAACATTAATAATTTCAACTGCACTAAGCTCCTTTTAGTGACTCATCTTATTTCTCAGCATCAGTTACAATTGTTTCCATGTAGGTGCTGTAGAGACATATTTAGGAAAAATTGTCTTGGAAAAGTAACCTTGTTAGCAACAGCAATGCAGTGTCTGTGTATACTGTATCTTCTTGGACATAGTTTGATTTATGATAAAAATAACGCTTTTCTTCCATGTTCAGTAATTTTATTAAATAAACTTTAAAAAATCCGTATTACCTTGTGATCCAGAAAAACAATTAAATTGCCTTGTGATCAAAAAATTAACTCCTTCGGTGAGTTTGTAAAATCCAGTCTATGCTTATGAGCTCACATAGCCCTAGAGGAATCTTAGAAAATTAATATTTTAATATTAATGAAATTGTTTGTCTTGTACTTTACATCTCGGGCCCTACAGTGGGAGGTTTTATTCTGTCTGCTTTTTTAAGTATGTTATATCAGAACTATGTGGCAAATGGGCAGCAGACAGTGTTCAAACGCAGTTCATTACTCCTTTTTTAAATATGTCAAGAAATATGAGCAAAACATGGGATATTTTTCCTCATTGACTTTTCCCAGATATGGGAATTTAATTTAGAGCCAAACTTTGTTCTTTTGACTTGGGAACAGTTGCTTTGATCTAGTTGGAGATTTGTAAAGTTTCTGAATAGATTGAAGGAAGATTTTTTTTTTTTTTTTTTTTTGAAAGGGCTTGGTACAGGTAGTTTAATCAGCAAAATGCTGCTTTCACCCAAACAGCACTCTCTGTTACTGCCTCCTGTGCATGTAGATAATTTCTGTGGTACCACGTTGTAATGGCTGACAGGCCTGGGTTATTTTAAAATACGTGGCTTGAAGAATAATACTGTTGTGTGATTCCAAAACTGACATACCCTCAGGGAAATATGGGTTCTTGAACCAAATAATTTGCCTCATTCCTTGAAAATTATAATACTACTAATATAAGTCCCCAATATAATGGGAAATCTTTACTTCTTATCTTCATTTGAAGAGGCATAGTAAGCGTGAAGAGAATGTTGTTATGTAGGTTAAGGACTTGGGAGGAGAAAGAGTATGCTCTGTTCTCAGTCTGTTTCTAGTAGGGCTTGTTTTTCTTCTGAGTAGTGTGAAACCTTTTCTCCTTGTGCTCAGTCTCTTAAAAGATGACACCAGCATTGAGCGAGAGAGATTAGTAGCATATAGGGAACATTTATTGGCATTAATTCTGCAGTCTCTGGCTTGCACCCACAAAGCACAGGTCCTGCATCATGAGAATCCCTTTGATATGCTGCAGTAACAGGCTTTGAAGCCTCTCTTAGAGGAAAAGCTGGGATGATCTTGAGAGACAAGAGAAGCACCCACTTTGGAATTCTTTTCTTTTCTTTTGCTCTTCTGTACAATTTTTCTGGGATCTTCAATGTTGTCCTTATTCCTTTTGCTGCTTTTGCACTTTTTGAACATTCTTCAAAATATTCTCCTCTAATGAGCAAGTCAGCATATTTAAGAACTTGGCTTGTGCTTCTTTGAATGTTTACTTTTTGTCAGAACATGAACCTTCTTATTAATCACGGACAGGTTTGCAAAAACCTCCAAATGATAGGCTTCCAGCCCTAGTATATTGAATGACAGACTTTTTAGATTCAAAGTTGGAATTTCTTTGGCAAAAAATAATAATTATGCAATTTTTCCAGAGGCAAGGATTCAGATTTCTAGTATGTCTGCAGTGCCAGCTTTTTTTTTGGCTACTGCACTACATATTAGTGTATTGTTCCTTCAGTGTTTCCTGAGTCCCTACAGAAACTGTTGGGTTTTCATCGTAGAGCTCTTGGAAAAGAAATTAGTACTTCAGTGTGATTTACATCTCCTGAGGTCAGGAAAAGTTGTCCTGTATCATCTTTTAAGAAAACTGAGAAATGGAGAAGGGATGAGAAACCATCTTGAGGTCTGTTCTTAACTCTTTAAATGTATGTTTTTGATAGAAGTCCTTTTGCCGCATCCATTCCGTGCATTTGTGGTAAAATCAATATAAGCAGGACTCCCTTCTGCTCTGAGACAAATGTTATGGCCTTGTCATGAAGAAATTTGGTGTCGGGTAGCTGCAATAACAGAACCACACCATTCATTGACTTAAAATAGAAAATTTTACAGAGTAGGATGGGTAGAGCAGATGGATAGTGATTTATATTCTAAAACTTCTGTTCCCCAACACACAGGCATGCATACGCACACAAACACACATGCATGACACCAGTCAATGCACCCATTTTGGTCCAGTTGTGGCCTGCCCTATAGCGCTGGGGGAACAGGGTATTCATTCTGATTGCTTGTCACGTCTGTGTTGTGGCTGGTGGCATAGCTTCTGTATGTGAACAGTTGAGCATGGTCTAATCAATGTAAGCAGGACTCTCCTACCTTCAGACTGAAGTAGGAGGGGCCTATGCTTGCATCAGGCACCAACTGACACAACTTTTCAGGTGAGCTGGTTTAAGGCAACAAATTTCTGGGTTGTTTTTTTTAGTGAGGGATAACAAGCATGCTAAAACTGTAACTTGAGATGAGCGAGTGTAAATAACATAATGGTTAGAAGTTGTGTGGTGGTGGAGCCAAGATTTCCTTCAAAATTTCTGGATAGTGTATCTCCAAAGTTTTAGTTTTTGGCACCTAAGGATTTTTGGGTTGCTTAGAGGGAGGGATTTTAAGTGTGCTGTATGTATAAAGCACTCTACAAATATGAAGGAATTGCATTTGCAGTCTGTGCTAGATGAGGACTAGCAAGTTGCCAATATAAAGTTGTCAGTAGAGTAAATTTCTGATAATCTGCTGTAGTATTTCAAAATATTGGAATATGGGTATTTTACATGGAGCAAGTAAATTAAGTTAGGCCATTTGACACTGTCCCCTGAGAGATGAGTTCTGTAGATAGTAATTGTTTTTTTGTTTCTAGCATTTACAGCTGTAGAGTAGACTGATAGTCACAGTACATTCTCCCATTGCTATAGCTTTGTTGATGTGCTGCTTATGTTTTCCAAATTTCTGGGAATTCAAAATTGTTCTGATGTCATTGTTTCGTCTGTCCTTTCCATGCCTTTTCCTAAATGGATATAGGAATGCAACAATCTCCTAACCAGACATCAAGAACAGGAAAATCAAGGAAAGGTATTCTGTACAGTAGCATTTCAAATATGAAACATGTTGTATGATACACAAATGCTAACACATCTATGATGTTTTTTATCCTGGAGGACCCTATTTTGATGGGTTTGGTTTTATAAATTAGATTTGAGAGCAGGCTTTGGGCGCTTTTTATTTGTTTGCATGTTTTGCATGAGTCCTTTATTATTGAATTGAGTGTTTGCTTTGTGTCATTAGTGATAGTAAATTTTTTTTTTTTAAATATGTTCTGTTGCTCCAAAATAGAAATGGACTTCAATTAAAGTGGAAACAAGCAATCCCCAGAGACTGCTTTTCTAGATCCTATCTCTATGGTAGGGCATCAAGGTCTGTCTGAAAGCTAGCTCATAAACTTCCTCTATTGCCTTCTAAAGGATAATGTGACCTGGTTTTGGTCTTTGCTTAAAGTTACTATACATTGAAAACAAAAGTTCAGGTAACTTACTCAGCTGGTTTGATTAATTATAACTGTACTAATTGAAAATATAACTGAAGTCACCTGTCGAGTTATAACTGATTGCTCCACCCTATCCACCCAGTTCTGAGAGACAGGTTTTCATTCAGCTTGGGAGGTTAGCAGGTAGATTAGACTGCGGGTACTGAATGAGTTAACAGAAAACTGCGGTATATAAAACTAATTAATATTTTTATAAATGGCATGTGTTTGTAATAGGAAACATTAAAAATCAGAGACTGTGTTGGTATTTTAACTGTTTTAGCTTGTCCTCGCACTGGAAGTGTCAGCCTCTAGGTTTTGTCTGCATGACATGTCTACACTGAACATGTATACTGTATTTCATTGTCTGAAAGCCCTGTTCAGGTCAGGAGTTGTACTCATCAAAGTTCCCACATAAACCCTGTTTTTAAGACAGACAAAATTTCCATGCTCATTTGTGGTTTACTGATAGTAGAAGAGATGTCTTCAGGCATGGTATGCCTTTGTTTTCTTTTCCCTTTAATGATTTTGTCCAAGACCTCGGTTTGGTTGTCATCATGTGACTTCATGGAAGGTCACCTGTCTCCTGTTTATAAGCAACTACATTTTGTTACGATAGTTAACAAGAATTAGTTGTTGAGAACTGAGGAATGCTGAAATAGCTACTATGTGGAGGTTATATTTGTTTGGGTTTTTTCCCTTCTGTCTTGGGATTTGAAGAGCCCTTTTATTTCATCTTAGTTATTGATAGTTGAGAGGTTTTAGCACTCTTCAGGCTGGATTCCTAGACTTCAGATTTCATTAGTGAAATGAATCATCACAGATTTTCATTCAGTGATGTGCTAGAGTGCACTCTCATCGAGTCTGCAAATGGCCCCAAACTGGGGGGATCAGTAGATATGCTTCAGGGTGGCGCTGCCATTCAGAGGGACCTTGACAAGCTGGGGAAACGGACTGTCAGTCCCGTCTTACAAAATTCAGCAAGGGCAAATGCCAAGTCCTGCACATGGAAAGGAACAACCCCTTGCTACAGAACATGCTGGGACTGCCTGGCTGGAGAGCTGCTTTGCTGAGAAAGCCCAGAGAGTCTTGGCAGAGTGAGCTGAGCATGAGCCAGCAAGGTGCCCTGGCAACTGAGAAGGTCAACAGTGTCCTGGGCTGTATTAAGAGCAGTCTAGCCAAGAGATTGAGGAAAGTGATTGTCCACCCCTACTTGGCACTCACTGGATTGTGTCCAGCTCCCTGGGTATAATTTTGAGCCCCCAGTGCAAGAGAGATTGGTCTTTCAACAGTGAGCAAGTTCAGTGGAGGGCCATCAAACTCGTCAGGGGCAGGAGTACTTGCCCTTTGAGGAGAAGCTGAGGAAACTGGTCTCGTTCAGCCTAGCGAAGAGGCGACTTTGAATGGGACCTAACAGCAGCTTCCAGTACATATGAGGAGAAGACAAAGCCAGGTGCTTCCCAGTGGTGCGTGACAGGAGACAGAGATACAAGAGGCATAAATGCAAACAAGAGAGTTTCTAACTGGGTGTGAGAAGCTTCACCATGATAAGGACAGTAAACCAGAGTGGTTGTACAGTCTCCCTCCTTGGAAGTGTTCAAGACCAGACTGGATAAAGCCCTAAGCAACCTTGTCTGACCTCATAGCTGAGCCCGCTTTGAGGAGGCGGGTGGCTAAGAGACTTCCTGAGGTCCCTTCTGACCTTATTTATCCTATGATCCTACGTGCAAGTTGCCTTCATAACACTGGTGAAAGCTTGCAGTGTAGTATAGAATGCCCTGGTTATGCCCCTTTTTTGGTGCAGTGTAGAGAACCGCTGGTGATTCTTCTACCTGAGGATAAGTTCTAGATCTTGATTATGCTTTTTTGATTTTCTTTACCTTTTCAGAATAATCTGTAACTGGGTAGAGCAGCAGATAGTGTAGTATATAGCATAATGTTATACATAATGTTACATAAAATAGTAAAATCTCTGCATGTGATGTATACTTGTGTGTGTAATACGAGTACTTTGTAGGTTCATTTACTTACTGTCTTGCTAAACCACCACCATTTTGTTAACTGTTTACTAACATAGCATATTCATGCTATGCTTTTTTTTTTTTTTTTTTAGTTTAGAGATGTTTCTTAAACTTCTAGGTATAAGAGTCCAAAGGAGATATAACTCTGGTCTTTTTCGTTTTCTTTTTTTTTTTTTTTTTAATTTCAGTTTGGCTTGAAAAAGCAGTTGTTTTGGAAACGCATTTATTCATGCTGTCTTGTGTTGAATTGACTACCCAACGTTTCATTCTGTTATGATCTGTAGAGTTGTCCATGTTAAATGTTTATATGTACTGGTTAATTTTTAGCACGCCAAATCTAATTTCAACATGTCAATTAATGTTTGAACAGCAATAGATGACTTTTCCCAAGGAGACTCAATAAGGTGAGACTTTAAAAATACTTAACACTTGCGTGAGGAATGATTTGAGAGACACGGTACTCATTTTGCTTTGCTTTTTAAGAAGCTCTGAGAAAGAGGGGAGTGATGACAGCTGGCATACTTCTGAGGAAGAAGAACTCGATTTTACCCCCAAGGTATGGTATCTTTACAGGAAAAATGTCCTGTAAAAATAAGTGATTTGAAGGCAAGTTTTATCTGGGACTGAAAGAAACTGCAGTTCCAGCCAATATTGTTTTCTTCTTGGAAGCAGTCTCTGGCCTGCCAGACTTTCTTCTGCTGTGAGTTTTTCCTGAAAGACCTGTAGCTGTGGCAGACCATGCGGTAGATTTGTAGTTTGGGGCAAAAGAGCAATAGGTGACGAGATAAACAACGACATTGTTTTATTTGTTCTTGTTCATTAGAGTCAGATTTGCAGACCCTAAAAGTTTGTAAGTTACTATTATAACCTATTCTGTTTTCCTCCAAACGTTGTTATTTCCTGCAAATTTGGTGATAGAATCCTAACTGATAAAGAAAAAGGGTATTTATTTATCAAGATCTACTGAAATCCTTCATCACCTAGTTCTCTTTTCCTCCTCGTAAGGGTCCTCAAGAGCGCTCAATGGATGAGTTACTCAAATGGGTCGTCTTTTTTCTTATATGAGATGGCATTCTGTGCTTGCACGTAATCTCACATTGCATGTTTTCCCTCTTTTTTGAATGCTCGGGTAGTATTCTTTTTGTCAGCTACAAGCTCTTGCACCTACTGTTTTTACTGATGTTCTGAAGGGTTATCAACTTCTGCAGTAATGTCTGGAGCATCTATTCTGTTGCACTGGGATTCTGCAGTGATGAGGAACCTGAGTGTAGTAGTTAAACCCACTCTGTAATGCTGGAGATGCAAGCATGTTTAGTTTTAACATGATTTTGTTTTCTTGCGCTGATTTAAATAGAAATGATGCATTTTTCTGGCATGATTTTGAAATTGAGGGATATTGTGGTAAATGTACTAGCAGGGACTAATTTATGCATTAAGTCTAGGGATCTTAACAGTTACTTGCATTATGCACATTTGCAAGTAAGCATCCTGAAACTGTAATCTTAAATATAGCTGAATTTTACTTAGGTATTACAAATTTTAAAAACAGATTTTTAGAACTGTTATGCATGTAAACATAGCTTTGGAAACAATTTGCGGATGGGTACCTGCACAGTGTTTTGGGGTGAAGTACTCACTGAATTGCATATGTGAGGAGTGTTTGTGTAGTTAGAACTATAGGATGGAGCAGCACCTGACCACTATCAAAAGGACAGCCTGATTATATTCACCATTCAAGATTTGATGTCAACAAAGGATTTGTTGTTGTTACTGTTTTTAAAAAAAAAAAAAAAAAAAAAAAAAAAAAAAAAAAAAAAGGTTTTGCTTAAATAAATCTTTATTTACAGAAGCTGCAGAAGCCAAACTTGACATTGCTAATGAATGCTTCCCAGCAGTTCAGGAAAAACAGTAAGCTATTTGGAAAAGATTGCATGATATACTGATATATAAAAGTAGACTTGCTAAGTAGGTTTTTTTTATATTTTTTTTTCTTTAGTAAATGAGAAAAGTAGCATTTTGAAAACATAGCACTTAGTAATTTCAGGAAAAAAAAAAAAAGTCATATCGTTAAAATGAAGATATTAATCCCCTCCTAAGCCTTTGTCCCTGGTCAAGTCCTTCCTTCATCCTGCCCATCCCTTACCTGGCTCCTTTTCCAGACATTCCCGGATGACTCCTCTCCTGTGCATTCATCTGGTAATATGCCTGTTGCTATTTACGTAACTCCTTTTGTTCACATGCATTTTTCCTTTTCTTGTGCTTCAAGATAATGGTGATGGTTCTAGAATTGAAAGTCCTAAGTCACCAAAGAAAAGCCTCAAAAAAAGAACCCCATCAGATGCAAACCTGAACAAAGGAGATTGTGGAGGATTATTGAATAAAGATGTCTCAGATGCAAGCAACCTGGAGGAAGAAGAATTGGAGGAGGAGGAGGAAGATGATGATGAAACTGACGATGGAGATGATGATGAAGATTATGAGGAGGAAGAGGAAGAAGAGGACGAAGATCTTGCTCAAGATGAAAAGGAGGAGGAAGATCTGGAAGATGAAGAAACTCAGTCTAATGACATACTGGAGAAGGAGCAGGGGGAGAAAACAGAACCTAAACCTAAAGGGGAAATTAATCAGCAATTGGAGTATTTTAATAATGCTAATTATGAAGGGGAAGCTCAGTGTGGAACTGGAGATGTCTGTGATGATGATCATAAAGTAAGTAAAGAACCTGATGAAAAGGTGGAGGAATCTGTTGATACTCCTGTGTCTTTTATAACCGGGTGTTATGAAAGATTGCAAGAAAATATAACTGCCATGTCTCCGAAGATAATGAACAATGAAGTATCTTGCAAGTCAGTACCAAAACAAGCTGTCTTTCAAAATCTAAATAATTTGCAAGATACACAAGAAAGCTGGAACAGGAAAAGTGTGATTCAGGAGAACTTGCACGTAAGTGCTGACTCCTGTTTTGCAGACTCTGAAATGAAAAAAGAGATACCTCAGCCTCTCTCAGATAGTTGTCTTGAGAAAAAGTCAAGCTTCAGTGATGGCTTTGAAAGTGGTGATAATTCTTGGTCAGCAGCAAAAAACCCAAAGCTTGAAAGTCAAAGACCGAATTCTGTTGTTCTTGAACATGTGGATGATGAAGATACTGAAGAAGAGCAATATGAAGAAGTAGATGATAAAGTCTGTGAAGCAGTGAAACAAGAAAGTGAAAACTTGCGCTTAAATAGGCATGAAGAAAACTTAAGAGCAGCGTTTCACTCAAGCACCAAAGTAAGTATGTAGGGGTGATTCAATCGCAAGGGTATGTTCTAAGGGTAATATAGGTAAGAAACAAACGGTAAACTGGACTTCTGTTAATACTTATTCTTCACATATATCCATCTTTTGATCATCCTTTTTTGATATTAGAAAATGTCTTACTCCTAGCCAAAGCAGTTTCTTAGGTATAAGAATAATATCAGGCAGTGTTTTCAATAATTTTTTTCTATTGGTTACAGTGGTTTTGCAGGAAAAAGAATAACCAGTAGTCTTTTTCTGGAATCAATTAAATTTTTCTCAGTTGTATGTACAGATTTTATCTGTGAAGATTTAGTGCCATTTAGTAAAGTTCATGGTGTGATGGCTGAAAGTGAGGAAACAAAAAGAAGTTTGAATAAGATTGAGAGCAGGAAGCTAGTGATTTTCCGTGGAGCAAAGTAGAGGAAAAGAAGGAATGTGTTCCAGAATGATGTAACTTAAATGATAGAGTTAGACTGACATGAGGAAGTGCTTCTCAGGGGCTTTGCAGAACCAGCAGTGAGACTTACGACATTAGACATTGCTGTCTACTCATATAGATTCCCTTGGAAAAACTGAAGGCCTTGTAAAACAAAGCTCAACAAAGTTTCCCTTTTGTCTTACACAAGAAAAGTTTTTTTCAAGTTGGCAATGGATGGCGAAGAAGATGCTTGTTTCTGTTCTTTCCAGCTGTTTTGGTCGATCTCTTTTTAGGAAGAATCACCTGAACGGGAAGAAGAGGAGGAGGAGGAGGAGCAGAAGGAAGACACTGGTGAAGAGCTACAAACTGCAGTTGTTGAGGGTGTGAAAAATTCTATTTGTAATGATAGCCATCAAGTCCACAATGCTTCAAAAGACAATGCTGGTGAGAGAAATGAGTTAGGAAATACTGATCCAAATTCTTCCTCTATAAATATTAATGCACAGTAAATGAACTAAAATGGTGATTGACTTCTGAGATAGCAAATTTTGCCCTTGCCTCTGAATCCTAGTGGGCACTGGCAGAAAAGGAAAGCAGCTTTTCATTCATTTTTGAAGAACTGAAATTGTGGCATCGGATTCCAAACGATGCTATATGAAGCAAGTGCTATTCTTGCTTTTGTTGCTGTGTTCTCCCTGAAGTGCTCTGAACAAAATGCGCAGGTGAAGAAGAGAAGGAGGACTAGAGTGTCTTGGGTGTGACAGTAGTATTCCCCTTTCTGGCCCATACTGTAGGATTGAAAAGCTGTGATTACTCTTGGCTGAAGCCTGGGAAAGATTTGAGTCAAGCTGAGAGAAAGCTGTTCTGTTCCAGTGCCTCACCTTGTCCAGTTTTAAAATGTAGAAGGTCTCTCCAGTGCCACACTTGCATGTGCTTGAAAGCATTACCAGCTCGGTCAGAGCTGAGCACTTTGGTACTCACCTCAGGCCTCAGAGCAGGAGGCGAAGGCACCATTTCCATTGTCTGTCTCCAGAGAGTAGCTTGGTGTGGTAGGTGTTACCAGAGCACGTGTAGCTGCTGATCAAATGCTACACAGGGGGTCTGGCAGAACCTGCTGTATTCAAGTGTTGTACCTATACATGCTTTTCTGTCTCTATGCATTTTACCATAAGCATGAGTTTGGCATAGTGTAAGTAGTCAGAGCCCAGGCTGGAACCAGCAGTTGCCCTCTTCTGGGGTGGGTGTCCTCACTGCTCTCCAGCTCCTTCCCCCTTCTTTGTGTTCATGTCTCCACACGAGTGAATCCTGAATCAGTTTTACTTAATGGAGTAGCTTAAAACAGAGAAATGAAGATAGTCTAATCTGGCCAGGAACCCACTGAGACTGAGCCTTACGTTCGTCTGGTAGAGAAGAGATTTGGATGTTAACGCGCTGAGATAAAACGGCTTTTGTGTGTTTGGGGTGAGTGTTTGAGCTGTGAGCCTCTACTCTATGTTTAAATGGCAATGCTTAGGTGTCTAGCTTATGGGTAGGTGCAGGGTAGCAACTCTCTGACAAGGAAGAGCTTTCCTGGTAGCACTACAAAAGGAGCATTGTTTCTTGGTGATTTTAGTGATGTTAGTGTGAGGATGTTTTGGATAGTGTTTCTACGGTACCTCCTATACTGTGGAAAGTGGTAGTAAATGCCAAATTCTGGAGCTGTAGTCTGGAGAGCTGGTGACCTAAACTCTGTATACCACAGGACTGCAGGGTGCTGGAGTCTCTTCCTTAATGTTAACCAAACATGTGTTGGGTGTTGCTTGTAGCTGTGTCTGCTGTGGTACATAGCCATCTTCTGCTGGAAAGGAGGCAAGAGGAGGTGGCGATGTAAAGGAAATATCATGATGTGGCTGGGTATGAAGAAACCGTTGAATAACACTCACTTCTTAGTTTGTCCTCAGCAGTAGAACCACTGCACATCTTTTGGATTCAGGGCTTGACTGATGGGGAAAAGCAGAGTGAAATATAAACACTGTGTCTCACTTATCTTGTTTGTAGGTGCCCTGCCAGCAGTGGGAGCAGAGGAAGAGGAAGATGCTGAATCTCCCTGGGATTCTGAGGTACTTTCTGTGAAGGACACGGGGTTTTCCATCTGAGGTGGGAGAGGAGGGGAGGAGTAAGATCCAGAAGCACTTGAGAGCTTGCTTTTGACTTGGGCCCTACCGTTGATGAGGCTTATTTCCTCTTTTCCTGCTTCTGCCATATGTTTGTAACTGGGGACCCTTGAAATACTTCTGCTCTAAGCCAGCTGATCAGTCCCATCAGATTGGGATGAAGTTAGGTCAAGCTAACAACTTGGGTCTCATAACAACTGGCCATTAAGTTTGGCTTCTAGTATAGTATTAAAGCAGTGACGTTTCTTGCTGTTTAAAATAGTCCGAACTTTTCACAGGGGCTGGCAGGATTGTTGCTTTTTCACCATACAGCTTTATTCTGCTGACCTGGTCAGTGGTTGCCCTTAGGGTCTACAACTTAGGCGCTTAGCTGCTTCTGAACAGATCCTCTCTACCTTTTGTAGGTGTACTTCAGCCCTCTTTGAAAGTCATGTTCAACAGAGATACCACACATGCTGGCTGCATTTGCTCTTTTAGTTCTTCCTTGTCTAATGGTCTAGAAGAAAATAAGCAGGGTCTGTAGCTAATCCCCTCTGGCTTTTCTTGTGAGGAAAAACGAACTCTTCCCCACCCCCTCCTTAAAAACATAAGACTAAAATTTTATTTTTATTTTTTTTTAGGTAGCCTTAGTTTCTGTAAGCTTTGCCTTGCTAGTCTTTGTTCAACCCAAATTGCCCTTGCGATTGGGAACAGCGATGTGTTCACTCACTACTGCAGGATACATGCACAAACCTGAATGCCAGGTACAAGTTCAGTACAAATGTTGGATCACCACAGACCTGCAGTTATTGGTTCACAACCTGCATCTTCAGTCACCATGTTAATTCTCTTGTGGCTGTCCAGTTTGTCAAGGTTTATCAGCATGACAGAATAGTTTAGATAAGTTGTGAGGTTTTTGCCTAAGATCTGAAAACACACACAACTACTGTGATTTTCCAATATACTATGTTTTGATGTGTCCTTTCCAAGGGTCTTATTGAAGGTTTTTGTATCTCTGATATACTTGATACCATGCTATGCAAGTTGGCTTAGCAGGAGCTTTTTGCATAGAAATGAGTTGAAAATGCATTTGTACCAATTCTCATGCATGTGTTTTAGATTATACAGACGGATTCTGGAAGTCCGAGAAAAGTTTCGACTGGTGTGTTGCTCCCAGCTGCAGACAGACATGGAGCATGCTCACAGATTGTTTCAGGGGAACACGACAATGGTAACTTCATGGTGGACTAAATGCTTGTCTGTAAGCATTTATAGGCTAAAGTGAACTTCTATCAGTGTCTATCTTAGGAATGCTGTTATGATGTGGGTGTGCATTATAGCAATGAAGTGCTTAGTATTTGTTAATTAACACCAGTTATCATAGCACTTGCTGGCCAGTTTGTAAAGGAAGTTGTCTTGTTTGCATTATGTGTGTTCTTTGGATGTGTTTGTATTTTGGGGGGTTCAGGTTCTTGTTGCATAGTGATGAAAGTGTATGTGGTTTAGGACTGACATGTCTGAACATTTAAATATTCTTGGATGATAATGTAGCAAAAGAAAGCTATGATCTGGCTAAGCTTTGTTTTTTTCCTAGCTTAATTCCTGATAGCTTTCTGTTGTGCTTTGCCTAGAAGCTAAAATGTGACTAAAAGTTCAGGTTTTGTTGCTAAGGGTTTCTGCCTGTAGTTTATGATACTGTCTCTAGAGCATCTTGAGCACAGGATGGCAGGGAAGTTTTGCTGTTGGGGTAGAACTCTTTTCTGAAGGATTTCTCCTCTAACAAATGGCTTGTCAATCCTGCTTGTAGTATAGGTACAATAGAATAGCTGAAGAAGCTAATCCAGTTTTAGTTTAGTAAGCTGGAAGTAAAACTTTACAAGCTCCCGGGAGCTTGTAAATCTACTTGTTGAGTAGTTGTCATGGAAGTCTGCTTTGTATGATTTTACTAAGATAACTTTAAAATCAGTGTGAAAAGGGGGTAAAAGGCAATTATGGTAATATTTCTAAGGTATTTCAGTACTGCTAGGCCACCAAGTTTACTGAAATCAAATACTGTTTGTTTTTCAATGATTTTTTTTTTTTTTTAAATATAAAAATTTTGCTGTGGAGCCATTCTTAGTAACATTTCATATACTTCTTTCATGAGAGGACTCAAACTGTAAGATGACTAAAGCAGAGGATTTGAGAAATATAGGTGGGCCAGTAGATTGTGTGGGTTTGGAAATGAAATCAAATTTTGTTTTTCAATGATTTTTTTTTTTTTTTAAATATAAAAATTTTGCTGTGGAGCCATTCTTAGTAACATTTCATATACTTCTTTCATGAGAGGACTCAAACTGTAAGATGACTAAAGCAGAGGATTTGAGAAATATAGGTGGGCCAGTAGATTGTGTGGGTTTGGAAATGATTTAATGTTGGACAAAAATCTAAAAAAAAAAAAAGTAGTATTTGGAACAATGCTATAAATGGAGATTCAACCAAACAACATTTGTTTCTTTTGTATCCTTGCAAGCTAAACCAGAACAATTTGTTGAGAACTAGCTTGATTTTACCTCATCAAATGACACGTGTATGAGGTTTCTGTGTCTGCACCCATGCTTTCTCTGTCCCATCAATGGAAAGGAAAATGCTCCTCAACATTAAACACTTGTAGGATAATCACAGTTATAGTGCTTGTGGACTGTTTTATGATCATTCATTACAGTAGACCATCTTTGGCTTTTGAAATAATCCTTTTAGAAAGCAGGATTCAGCTCCTCAAAAGGACTAAATAGTTTGATCTTGTTCTATTAACGAGCATGACCTTATTGCTTCACATGAATTGTCCTAGTTCTGTGATTATTATTTTTTTAAATCCAAGGTGCACGATGGGAAGTATGCATTGTCCATTTCTTGTGTACTGATACAAATGCTGTATGATGAGGTAAACTGAATGTTAGGCATCGTACTTTCAGTGAAATAATGCTTGCAACTAATACTTAGTTGTAGAAACTACTGATGTTGAATGGAGTAAAAGATACCTTCAATTAAATAAAATAACACTTCCCAAAATATTTTTCACCTCTAGGCTTTTCAGAGAAACCAAACAATTCCCAGGTAAGTATTTGTTCATGTCAGACTGACTACTTGTTCTGCTCATTAAATAGTATGTAGTTACTTTTAATTTGTTTTTTTATCATTGGATTGTGTCTTTCATAGCTGAAGACTCCCGAATCTGTTTTGGAAATGAATGAAACCTCTCCTAAAAGAAGGCAGCAGAAATCAGGTAATATTCATTTCATGCGGTTCTGGGTTTTGCTTCATAATCTTTCTGGATAGGAGTATTTAATGAAGTATATGACTTATTTGTTTTGCAGATCTATTGGAGGAATTTGGTTTAGGAGATGCAGAGGATATTGAAGGTATTCATAACAGTCTTTTTGTAGTGTTCTTTTATGGACAGACACATTGTACTTGCAAATTTTTTTCCTAATATTAAATTAATGGTTCTAGCAAGGTGTTCTGGGAGCAGAAGGTCTACTGAAATATGCTTCTATGCATGTGTGTGCTCCCTGCTCTAGTCTGCCATTCAACACTGTAAATACCCTTCCATGATGTAGACTTCCTCCACCGTACCTGTTGTCATCTCCCCTTTTCAGGCAGTCCTCAAGTTTGCTTTCCTTCCAATTTCTCAAAAAAACCCTTCCTGATATTCCTGGTTCTCTGAGCATGTGCTGTGGCTGATTCCAAGCTAGGGATCTGGAAGCTAAGCTGTCCAGGAGCTGCAGGTGAGACAGAAAGAGTAATTCTTGGGCTCATGCTGTAGCTGCACTTTAGCAGGAATTATTACTTGCCTGGCTTTTCTCTATCTGTCTGGCAGTTGTTTTGAAACATGTAGCAAACACATTCCTCTGAGGCCTCCCCCTCCTGTTTCATGGAAACTGACCAGCAGGTTCAGAGGTAGGGGAAGGAAGTGGGGAAGAGAGACAAGGTGGGAGGAAATGACAATGTCAGCATGTTGCCAGGAATTCTCTTTTCTTTGGAAACAAGGTTAAAAGTGAAGCAGCTAGCTGGTCCACTATATATTGGAGGGAGGATATATGACCTTAATGGTGTTTTACATTCGTTGTTCTAACGTTTATTGATTTGCATATGTGTTAATGAGATGAGAAACAATTCCCCGTTCAGGTTTCAGAGTTTCTAAATCAGCTATTGAAAATATAAACCAGAGAGAGGTGAACAGATACGTAGGCAAGTGAAGTAGGTTATCGGAAATAATTTTTTAAATTATTGTGACTTCTAAGTATGGAATACAAATAGCTCCAGGTGCTTTGGCATCCTTGTTTTAGGTAAAAAAAAAAAAAAGTACCATTGTTCTTTTGACAATGATAGAGATTAAACTTCTCTCTAGGAAAAATATCTCTCCCTTCCTCCTCTCACCCTTCTCCTCTCTCTCATGTATTCGCAATGCAACAACAGGTCCTCTTTTGCCCTTTATTTTGCAGTGATAGTGGTTTTGTAAGACGCATAGAGGATTGTTAAAAGTTGTTCAGTTAAAACATGAGTTTTGGTTTTGTCTGTATGACATAGTAATGTGAAATGTAGCCCCATTGTGGACCAGTATGTTATAAAATTACAAACACAGAAAGGAAGACTGCCTTTTCATAGCTCGTTTCATGTCAGCTATTTTTCCTGTGTGTCTTTATTCATTTGGGTCACATGTTGTTTTTTTTACCCATGTGTTATCTTGAAGATCAGGTGTTAAGAAGTACATGTGAAAATTTCTTTCAAACTTTTATGTTTCAATTTGGGTTTAAGCAAATTAAATTGCTTCAGCAAAACATCATCATTCCTGTGGCACAAATATTTCTAACTCTAAAAGGGTTGAATGCCACCTTTCACAAGTTTATTTCATAACTCTGGAAAACAGGTACGGTATCTTGCACATGTAATAACTTCTTAAAATCTATTTTTGGGTCAACAGTAGTGGTGTTCTTATGTTTTCTGCATAGAAGAGTAGCTGCTTTGCACTGTAATCTGCAAAAAGTCATTATGTAAGACAATTTGAGGAGGGAAATCTCAGAAGAGAGGTGATGTAAAGGCTAATTGGAAAGAACACTAAAAATCATCTTTCAAAGCTAGCTAGAGAACAGGTAGAGTAAAAGTGGGGGGGGCACCTTTTGTATGCACAGGGATTTCTGTGTTATTTGTATGTTAGGCACGAAGCCAGATTCATCTAACCCCACTGCAGGTATCCATTAATAAAAAGACATGCTGCTAATAAATGACTGGCAAAAATACTGGAACTTAATTTACTCTGTGAATTTTCTATGTACTTATTTTTTAAATGACAGGCTCTTTAGAAGCTTCAGACTAGGGTTCTACCAGTGTTTTAACTAAATTTCTCCCTGTGCTAAAAGTGAAAAAGTCTTGACAATGAGGAGTCATCCCTCTTTCACAATGTTGACAGAAGCCAGTAATACAGAAAATAGACTCATGAATTACTGCTCCAAGAAGAGAAGAAATTTTACTTGCAACAGCTAATAGGATAAGTCCTTATCTTTTTTTTTTTTTTAGTTTATGTTTTTGAATTATTTTTTCCAGTGGCTTAGAGTTACTGACACCATAAGAACTGGAATTTTGCAGATGGAAGAACATCATTGCCTTTCATCTTTCCTGCCTTTTTCCTTGTTCTGTGCCCATCATACAGAAATTTCAAGATTGATTAAAAACCCTATGGAAAAGAAATCTTATGGGCTCCAAAGATCCTAAAATCTTATCTAAAGACTGAGACTTTGGACTCCAATAGCTGCTGCTGAAAACTTTACTGCTGACCATGATGGGCAAGACTGAAGAGGAGTTCGGGTTGCTTTCGATTATAGCAGTATGACACCTAATCTTAAAGTGTCTGGACTCTGAAACAGAATCCAAAACACTGACACCTACATACTCTGAACAGAGAATGTGAATTGCATGTTTAGAAGGCCACTACAAAACTCTGGCTGCTGACAGGTCTGCTTTTATCCAGCTTTCATGCAGATACAGTCGACCACAAAACCTTGTTCAGTCTGTGTTGTGTGGTATCCTTCAGGAAAGGCATCACAGCTCTCCTGCATCCACTAAATACTTAGTCTATCTTTTAAGCAAAATTGTGGTGTCAGTGTTATGTGGTGGGAGTGATCACATGTATCAAGTTGTATGGTAGGAAGCTGCATGCATGTTGCAGTTTGTGACCGGAATGAACATTGATGAAGTGACAGAAGAAATCTGGTAAGCGTACCTTTATGGAAATGGTGTAGGAGCAGTCCCATCTGTCTGAGAGATTGACCACCCCCTGCTGTGCTTGGGCTGGAGAGGCTTCTAGGACTAGTACAAACTCCAAGCACACTGGTGTGTCTAGACTCTTCTCTTTCTAGGAGATATTCTTATCACCCAAGAGGCTTATGTACAAATTACCAACATACTGGGTGCCTGTTTTGCCCAATTCTGCTCTCTTGAGTTATTTTCCTTTTGTTTTCTGTAAGGATGTTACAAATCAGTGTGACGTCTGTGCAGATACTTCTCTTGGAATTCATCAGGTTCCAGTGCTTCTGGCCACCCCTTCCAGTTGGCACTCCCAGAACTGTATAGAATCATAGAATAGTTTGGGTTGGAAGGGACCTCTAAAGGTCATCTAGTCCAACCTCCCTGCCACAGGCAGGGACATCTTCAACTAGATCAGGTTGCTCAGAGCCCCGTCCAACCTGACCTTGAATGTTTCCAGGGATGGGGCATCCACCACCTCTCTGGGCAACCTGTGCCAGTGTTTCACCACCCTCAGTGTAAAACATTTCTTCCTTAGATCTAGTCTAAATCTACCTCCCTTTAGTTTAAAGCCATTCCCCCTTGTCCTGTCACAACAGGC